GGTTATATAACACGCAATTATATTTCAAAGATAAATGCTATTCAAACTGAACTACCATATGATATGCGTGCTGGAACTTATAAACGTATGAATGCTATCAAATATGCACATGCTCTTATTGATTATATGACAGTGAACAATATACTGTTGAAAAAGTAAAAATCAGAACTGCATGACGCAATCTTTTTTGCTCATATATTCATTTTTGAATTGAATTGAATAAATGATTGGCAAATGTTCAAACGATGAGCATGAAGGAGAAAACGAATAGAAAACGCAAGTCTTTATTTCGCAAATATGTATAGCATGATATTATCAAATCAGATTGTTAATCTAATATTTTTCTCCGGTAAAATCATGGCTATTTCGATGTTTAAAACATATTAAATGAAAACCTATCTTTTTTCGTGATTGGTCTCATATGATTCTTTTTAGGTCTGCATAGCAAACCAGCACTCAAATTAAAGAGTTTTGTTACTGCTCAAGGATTGCTTTCTTCTCTGTATCTATTATAGGAGATTCACTTGTATAATAATCACTGAAACAGATCAAACCCAGTCTCCAAGATAAATATCAATAGAAAACAACATTAGATATGTTTACGAACTAGAGTTCCTTTCCAAAAGTAAAAAGACTTATAAAGTTTCAAACATTTGAAATGAAATATGCAAATAAAAACATAATATAAAATATGTAAGCTTTTCAACTAATTCCCTGGCAGATTTAATTCAAAAAAAGTACAGTAATTAGCAATGGATCAGTATTATTGTCCATGGATAATATACATTGTCTTTAATCTAGCGATACCATGAATAAAAGTCGATTAAATATTAAAATAATGATTTATTAATAGTTTTTCGAATATCTAGAGACATTCACGAACAACTCAAAACTTGTTCATTGTTCATTGATAAATGTTCTTTGTATGACTCCGAAAACTTTTGATCAGACTTTTTAAATAATTGTTATTTTCGAGAAAAGGCCTACCTTGACAAAAAAAAACCAAACTCACCCGATTTTCTAATGCCCGATAAAAATAACTTTTCAGATCAGCTTCGACCAATTCCAATTAGTTTGAGATCAATTCTAATCAAAATCTATGTCAATTTTGCTCAACTTTAGCCAGCATAGTCATTTTCAAGCCATTAGAGCCAATTTAAGATTAATTCTTACTTAGCTCACTTTAGTCAAAGAATAGAAATTAGTGCATCCTTGGAAGAAACTAATATAAGTGGAAGAAAATCTAATCTCAAATTTCAATGTCGAATCCAAACCCAAATCGTTTGGATGTGGTGCATGTCTAGAAGCTAATAAGAACCTTATCGTGAATGTGGCTGGCAAATATAAAAAAAAGACTCATATTACGGCGAAAGAAGCTGCAGAAAACTGGAAATCATATGTCGCTCCAAAACCAATCGACAATTATCTATTTCGTGAAGCATAGAAACCATTTCATGTTATTTTAACACTTTTAAATATGAAAACTCTAGATCTTTGATTCAACATGGCTTTGTATTTGGTTAAAAAGACTAAACCCAAGAGAACCTACTGCATCTCGCGCCATCAGATGAATTTCATGTTTGAACTGTTCACATGCCAAATTATCAGGATGCTCGAGCTTTGGAAAAGGCATTGAAACTATCAAAAATGATGAGAAATACCATGGAATGCTTCAAAACCAACTGTCATTAGTATTATTATCATTTTCACGACAAAAAAAATTACATTAAGTTATTTTATGAAAAATGATCTGAAAGAAGTGTTGAAGTTTAGAGAGTAGAAGTTTAGATCACTCTCCTCCCGCAGACCGTGATAGACGTTGTCGATATACAATTACAGACTATATATTAGTAACAACTCATTAGAATATATGGACTACTTCCTTATTGCAGTTCTAGAGGATTAATTAAACGATGATGATGAAGAAATGTGTTCTGAAATAGATCAGATAAAACAATTTTCAAATGATTAGCAACAATAATTACATCGTGTTTGACATTTTAATACTCCACGGATTGCATTAACAGCTTTTCTATTTGGTTTAACAAAAACAGTTTCACTGTTGTGTCTTTTGAAATTCGCACAAAAACTCCTTAGCTATCGAAATTTGTTCCCTATTTTCTGTTCGCTGTTTGACAACCATACCGATTCCTATGAGTCAATATAATGTGTAGATAAAACATCTGTATTTTTTCATGAAATTTCATAGTAAAACTGGCTTATAGTGTGTTTTGTTCGTTTATAAAGGACACTTTCAGAACATAAAGATCAATAAACTTTATGGACCACACCCAACTTGAGTGTAGTTTGATTTAATTTTCACATCAGTTTTGTAGAGATACAGTGTTATAGGATATCATTAGTATCCGATAATCACGATATTTTTAAACTATTCAACGTTTTATGCTGTTCTTGTTCATAAATATACATATATTTGAAGCAATCACCGACTTCCGAGTATGGTGTAATTTTTGTCGAAAATTTTTCTTCTTCAATTCTACTAAAAGTGCATAATTTAATGCAGAATTCGACGCTGATAGCAAATATCTGGTTGATTTTGATTTCTTTTGCTTTTATCCTCGTTCAAATTATGACTTTCAGAAAACGATGAAATTCCATAATGAACAGTTCTTTCAGTTTTCTATTCAATGGCAGTTGTGCCAATCAAGAAATCACCTGATATTTTTGAAAACTTGTTGAAAAATGAACAACTTCTATACAGATCATTTACTTATATCCCAGTGTATTTCACAGTAAAATGCGGATCAAAGTGCGAATGTATGGATATGGTTATAAGCATCTTCCGATATTCATACCTTTACTTTAATCTACACGCAATTTCAACTAAAAATAAAACTTTTCGTAATTCTGCAGGAAATAAAATGATGCAGAAGAACAAATTACATATAGGAGTATCACACTATGTCAGTGGTTCATGGATGTGTACAAAATCATGCTTTATCTTCCCAGTATCCTTAAGAATTTTGAACTCGACTTTCGTTTAGCAGAAATTCTTTTTTTTTAGAAAATATTTCCGATTCTGGTATCTATCATTTCTGAAGAACTGATTACATTTTAAAAAAACTTAAAGAAACCTGAAACAACATGAAAAAAGTTTTTTTTTCAGGAAATTGTTGAAGCTGTTACATAATTCGAACAATAAAACCAAGACTCTTTGAAGTTAAAAATTGAATTTATTCGAACAAGGTCGTACCTGTCCTATCATAGAATGTTTCTCCCAAAGCACGCACCAGAGATGTAAAACGAACCCAAACGAACCGAACTGAATTCGAGCTAGTCCTTGAAAAGATAATTAAACACAGTCAAACATTAGATGTAATGTGATTAAATAAACTATCATCGACTTCGTAAAAATATGATAGCATCAGCAAAGATAAGATGAGCTTTAGTTGTGTTTTGTTTTAAATTTAATCACTATGTAACACAACCTCGTTTTCTCTGCAATGCAGATACACTAATTGTTGTCATGACGATGAGTCACTTCTATATGGCATAATTCTCTTGTCCTTGTCTATTTTAAACTTCACCAATTTTCTGTACCACTCGAACTGAATCAAAATCCGATTCAATTCGATCTCTAAAAATAACTTATTCGAAAAAATTAAAAGTCTTATTTTCTTAATCAGCTAGTCAGACTCTATCTAACTGTCAAAAAAAAAGAAATTCTGCTTTAATATTGCATCGTCAGTACCATATTTTTTCAATATGTTTTCTTATAATTGACAATTATATTTTTTTCCATAACACCATCAATATAGTGCGTGTCGTTTATGACGTCCAATTGCAGGAAAAAAAGTTAGATCAATATTGACATGTACACTTTAATATTTTCTTAGAACGGCATGGATTATGGCACTCTATTATTGCTTGATGATTATTAAGTTGAGTAACACGTCTATTTGAGTACTGTTATTAAAGTGTCTTAGTCTTGTGTTTCTCAGAACTACAATTCTATTTTAAATCGATCTCGATTAATTCATTCTTGTTTTTATGAAAAATCTCTACCAAATAAGTTCGATTTTGTTTCTAGCTTAAAGTAAGTTTTAAGAATAAAAAGAGCTTTGTATTAGTCTCATTCATTTCTAATAGTATATTCAGATTATTATCAATGAGATTTTTTTTAATGATAGTCACTAGAAGCATGATAAATGGAAATGTTAAGAGAAGTATTTTTAACTAGAATGTTTTTTTTTACAGAAGAATGATAATTAGTTTTCTGACTGGACTTCTATTAAAGACTATTAATAAAAGTACTTCAAGTATGATGTTCATTGTTGATCGTGAGATCAATATTATTGAGATAGTCTCATTTTTGTTTTACATTTTTCTACACGAAAATTTTTTCATTTATCAATAATTTTTTGTTTGACATTTTCATAAGTTTTATATGGGTCATATTTCATCTATTTCGTTTTGAAATGCATAGTAGAGTTATTTTTGAAATAAAACTGTCAGAAAGATAAATCCAAGTAATTGGCATATTAAAGAATAAATTGAAAAGAACAAAGCTTTATAAAATAAGACTGTCAATATGAATAGTGTTACAAAATTACAATCATAATCAGTAAATATGATGAGTATTATTCCATTAATATAATAAGTCTTATATAAAATCTTTGTCAACAAAAGACATACAGCTATTATGAAAAATTATCCTTTGTACAGAATTCATATTATAAATATATCCACTGAAGCATATTTTGAGAATGATACTACATTAATATTCAGTGAAAAAATACTTAGAATATTACTGACTCAAATAACAGGCGCAAGCATTGAACTGAGGGCAAAGATGAATTTGTGACGTACTTGAAGAAATTAAATATAACAAATATTAGTCCTATATATGAAATGGACAATGTTTGCTATCTAGGCTAGAATTAAGTTAGAACTCAATTATCATAATATATATGTCAGGTTTGTCTTTGAACGGAGATTTCAGTAGGTTTTTTTTTCTTCATATTCGATTATAATTAAGATTTCAAAAAATCAAACCCCATCATTCAATGGAAGACATAGTAGATAGTTCGAAGCAGTGTTCGTTCCTTAAACGTCATCGGCGATCAATCCTCGCCGGTTATTTACTCAATACCGCAACACATGGCCTACGCAATATTGGCATTGCCAACAGCACATTGCATCGAACATTTTGGATTATTACCTTTCTGGCCATGTTTGGCCTTATGTCGTGTTTCATTTTAATGGAACTATTGCAATATCTTGCTTTTCCTACACAGATCAGCATCGATATTGTGCCCGTACGTGATATGCTATTTTCAGCTGTGACTGTGTGCAACGCCAATCCTTATAGGAAAGATCGAATGAACGAAGCGCTAAATGTTTATGCTTATGAAAAGGATATCAATATAAATGAAACGGCTCCTGAGATTCTGGCTTTTTCCATGCTCATAGATATGTTCAATCGAAACGAGTCTGATAAATTCGAGAAGTTTGGATTTCAGCTATCGGATATGTTACTCGATTGCTCATACAATGGTATTAACTGCTCATCGAATTTTGTTCATTCTCTATCGTCAATCTTTGGTAATTGCTTTACATTCAATTGGAAACCACCTACAGATACAGTATTTACGTTAGCTAATCTAAGTTCGACATTGATGACGCACGAAGGCTTGTCAATGGCTTTTTACCTACCGCGTCATCTTGCTCTTCCACTGACAATCTTCGAGGATGGTCTTATTCTATTCTTGCATGATAACAATGAAATTCCATTCTTTTCTAAAAGCAACATACGATTACGACCTGGTCTCGCTCATACAATAGCATATCGAAAAAGTCAAACAATTTTTCTTCCTAAACCTTATACAAATTGTATATCAACAGTTGGATATAATTTGCGTCATATCTACGACATTATCTTCGGTCCACATTTGGCCCATCAAGTTGCTTATTCCGAGGCTCTATGTTACGAATTGTGTGAACAAGCTTATGTTTTCTCACAATGTTCCTGTATTTTGCCTATTCCATTTCTCATGCGATATGTTTTCTCGTTGGATCATGATCGACTTCTTATCGCCAATATTTGTATTCCGGCCACATCGGAAGACAAGTGTGCATTGGCTGCACGACAACACTTAGTTTCGAATGCATCTCTCATGGCTGTTTGGTGTTCACGATGTGCTCTACAATGTACCCATACACAATTTTCGATCGATGTTAGTGCATTATCGGCACCAACTGTGCAACAAAAAGCATCATGGAAAAAGGTTTTGCTACAAAACAATTTTAATATACCCTTGCCGGATGATTTTTCTGCGAATTATGATGCCTACATGGACGCCAATTATCTACGAGTGACTGTAACATGTGCTAGTACATTTGTAACAGTGCATAAACAACAGCCTAAATTAACAGTTATTGATACATTTTCGGCTATTGGTGGCCACACTGGACTGTAAGTAAGAGCTTCTTTTTTTTGACAGCATTCTATTATGATGAATTAATTGAAGGTTGATTGGCCTTAGTGTGATAAGTTTCATAGAATTTGGCGAGCTGATCTATCGATTAATAGTGACACAAATTACTCTTTGGCTACGTCGACGAAACATCCAAACCGAAGTGCAAGTGACATTGTCGACGACCACGATCCAAAGTGTAGTAAATGAACCATAATAACGAACATAAACTTTTTCGAACTAATAAATGTGGATTATTTTTCAGATTTGCTTTGATTTCAATGTCCTAAAGAGATTTCTTCTCATGCAAAATAAACTATTCGAAAGAGAGCATTTGTCTATCGAATAAATATAAATATTTTGAAAATATATCTATTTTTAGAAACACATTTTATTTTCACTGATTCTTGTTAACTGACAAATTAGTCGATACAAGAGTCTAGTTTATGACGAGCGCGAATCAGCTCTATACAAGTCTTCCTAAAACATGATTAAATAACCTGTTACCAAGACATTCTATCGGTCACAGTCTGTATGGCAGTCTTGAAATGAATATAAAAATGGAAGTCTTGAGTATTTATTAAAGATGGAAAAATATATAAGATCACATAGACATTAGTTTAAAAAGTATATTCTAGATGGATGGATTACTGGTTTACAAATCCATAGACTTTTCAATTTAGAAAAAAAAAAGAAATATTGCATTTTTGAAAAAGATGAAATATGAAATAAACTAACATTTATGTTGTAAGAATCGTTTTTGAGTTACATCATCATATATAGAATACTCAAATTGGTCGACTTCTTGATTTTTCGAGTTGTTGAGTTCTGCTGCTTCCTGTGCCACATTGTGATTTATATGTTCATACGATAGATTTTTTCTTATTTACATTTCCACTTGACGACGATTAATTGCCAAACGCTAAATAGTCCTCGTTTGTGCCGTTAATTGATTACGTATCTCTTCTAGTTTTCGATTTGTTTCGGCTTGATCTGTTCGACGTCGATCACGATCGATGACAGAATTGTTTTTGATTCTGTTGAATGCATTGTACACTTTATTTTTCTTATCATAACTATGTGTTACTCGTTTCAAATTTTCTTTGCTATTATCTCTTTCGATTTTCTTTTGGTCAACAAGATTTTTAATAATTTTTTTCTCATTAATTTTTCGTTCGACATCATGATTGATTTTACGTTTATGATTATCGATGCCATTTATCTGTTTATCAATGTTGATTAATGTTCCTTGATTTGTTTCCAATTGTTGATGATGATAATAATATTTCTCTTGAGTTTTAGTCAATGTGAATCTTTTTTGATTGACTTGTGCTCGTAAATCAATGATAGCTTCTTGCTTTTGATTTAGAAGATATTGTTGTTCATTGATTTGACAAGATAGATGATTTATATCATTTTCATATTGTTTTTTTTTCTCGTTCTTGTGTTACTAATTTTAGCTTGAATTTTAGTATGTTCTTCATTCAATATTCCTTGTTATTTTTGTGAGCTACGTAATAATTGTTGTTGTTCAGCTAGATCATCGTCTAAATCAAAAACAGATCGGATTATTTTTACTATATTAGTTCTAAAATTTTCCATGTTATTATTTGCTTTTTGAAATATAATATTCTGCTCATTCATCATGTTCTGCTGTTGTCACATTTGTTGTTCATTATTTTGAAGTTCAGCAAGTTTATTAGGTAGTTATATTTGTTTTTGTTTATTTTCGTCTTGTTTTGTCAAATATTGTTGTTCTATATTATGTACTTGTTCTCTTAATTGACTTAAAACATTATCAGATTGTTGAATTTTTTGTTCGAATTTTTCAATCGATTGATTCATTGAATGGATTTCTTTTTTCAAATTTCCTCTTTTACTTGTTTCTTTATCAATAATAGATTTTACTTTGCATTCTTTTGTATGTTTATATTTGATTTAGTTTTTGACTTGTTTACATTCTTTAGATAATCGATTTCAGTGATTTTTGACTTCTTTAATAGTAATTTTCTGATTGTCAATTTTGGCTCTACATGCAATAATTTTTTCCTTTTGATTTGCAAGTTTTTCTTCTTTTCTTTACAAACTATTTTTAGCTTCTTGAAGCTCTTGTCGAGTTGTATTTACTAAAGTTTGAGCTTCAAGATGAGATTGTTTTCGAGTGGCTAGAACTCGTCTACGATTTTCCAAAGTATTTTTCAATTGATTAAAATTTGTTAGACAATGTTGATAGTCGATATGAGCTTTATTAATTGCATCCGAATCTTCCACATTGGCATCTTTCATATTTTTTAATTTCCTTTCAGGTTTATCTAGTGCCCATTGGGCATCTTTTAGATTGGCTTCTGCTTGAGTTTCGTCAAGCGTAGCCATTAATTCATCATTTTGAGCTGCTGTTTCTTGATTTTCATTCTGCTTTAGTTTTTCTTCATATGAACGCACTTTCTTGTTTTAATCTGTTATAGCTCGTTCATCTTCACGTTGTTGTTTAGTTTAGTTTCGTAGTTCTTATATTAGCCGTTGTATTGTTTGTTTTTCTTGTTCCAATTGAGATTCATATTGATCTCGTTCAGCAGTCAAACGTTCAAAAAATGAATATTGAATTCTTGCCTTTCTTCTTGAAGATTTTTCAAACATTCATTAAGTTTTACTAATGTCTCTTCAGCCACTATTAATTTATCATTCTTCAGTTGAACTTGTTGAGAAAATTTTTGTCTATTTCGATCGATATCGATTCGTTCTTGATTTTTTATTTGCACTTGATTCCTGAAAAGTATATAATTACTTCATCTGCTTCTTTCTCATTATAAATGTGTTGAAATTTATCAATGATGAATATACTGGATGGATGAGCAATTAAGCATAATTTTAAAAAATCAAGCAAGTTTTGGCGATTTTTTTCTATCATTTATCGATCTTTCATATACTTGGAAATTTCATGTTTATCGTAACTTTCGATCACAGGAAATACCTATTATAACGGACAAATTTTTCCAACCTGGAATAATCTAAAGATTATATTCGAACGAGATAGGGACAGAGCAAGTGAATCAAAAGTTGATCGGCTTAATGACTATTTACTACTCTTCGATGTTTTCATTCAATTTTTTTTTGATTATTTTATTCTCAATCTAAATAATTTGAATGCAGATTAGGAAATTTATTATACCAGAGAATAACTTATGACGATTTATTTTATCTATCCCTGTATATTAGAGATTATTCTGCTTGAACTTTTAATAAATAATATAGATTCCAAAGTTTTAAGCTTTATGCTTTAGCAAAAGAAAAAATGGCATCTTAAACGGTTTGAAACGACTATAAATCGATATATTAATGCCTTAAGTTTCACTGTATTTCGTCGTAATACATTATCACATATTAAGGGCCGGTTTTTACGTTAAAACACGACCATCGTTTCCACTAATATCACTATTTTATGGGTATTTTATATGCCGCTTTGTCGTACCTGGGCAATGAAGAACGATGAATATTTTAGTGACCCTTTCAGAGGAGCAACGAACAAAAAAAACTTTAACAGCTTAGCTGTAATGCAAAATTACCCGATGACTATTGTCCGTATCAAAATAGAAGAGGGGTGAGTAGTTTTTGAATAAGTCAAGAACGCAAGTAGATAGAGAGTCCGAGTTTTCACCATTGGAAAGAGGAGATCATAACCGTAGCTTCTCAAAAGAGATACTTTTAAATTAAACATTTTGCTATGTAAAGAAAGCTTTGGCTATTTAAAATTCTCAAAAGAAATACTTTTTTATGAAACTTCGCTATTTAGAAAGGTCTTAGGTATTTAAAAGCTTTGATATTGATTTTTTCGTACTTAGCCAGGAATTTTAACAAAATACCAGTGACACTGAATTATTTAAATAGATGTGTAGCTCTTTGTTTTACATTCTAATTCTTTTTTCATCTATAACAGTCCTAAACTTCATCGAACAGGGTACAAGAAAGAGTGAATTAAAAGAAATTATTCTAGATGTTTAAGAAAGTAACAGAACATGACCGATTGTTAGATTTTTTCATCATCTATCAATTAAGTAATATTGTGCCGGAACAATACTCATCATTAGTTACAGAAGGTTGTGTCATACTATAGTAAAAAACATTTACTTCCTATTTGAATAACTGTTGTTAATACAAAATGTTTCTACCTAATGTTTTAAATACAATCGCCATTTATTTGAATATTTGTAAATCTCTGATAAACAATATTCCAGCCAAAAAACTGAATCTACATCATAGAATAACGAATAAACGAGATTTAATATGCATATTCTACGGATGAATATTTGTTGATAATGTTGATAATTATATAGTTGATAATATATCAATCTATAAATTGATCATGTTTACTTCGTTCACTTTTTTCTATGCTTCAAAAAAATCAACAGTTTGAAATAAATTGCTGATAAGTTTTAAATATCTATAAAGATTTTTGACAGTACGGATAAAAGCAAATTTCAATATCTGATTACTTCAAAAGACTTCTATTGCGTTCACCAACATGGACTTCTAATTTTCTAGACACTCCTGACCCTTCAACAAATTCACATGGCTTGATGAGGTATATCCGTACTTTACAAACTTTCATATTTTAAATCTATGCTATTTTTTCTACAAAGTTTAAAAAAATCTTAGTTGTAGAATCATATAGATATTTAGGAAAATCAGGCATACATAACTTGATGATGATATGTTGTAAATAACTCACAACCATCCTGCAATCCTTGCTCTGAAGAATCAGTAAGGTAGAATGAATATTTGAGGAGAATATCTATTAGTGCTGATAATGAAGTTTTCTTTTTGGTGCTTATAGTAGGAATAAACATATAATTGTCAGTATTTTGTTTATTGTTCAAAATCGCGAAGTATGATATAGTTTTTTCCTTTCTATGGAAAGTTTAATTAGTTGCAAAATCTCTAGATAGCTATGATAGGATTAAATAGCCAAGTGAAAGATTAAATAGCTATGTAAATCTTTAAATACCCATAGCAAGTTTAAATAGCTACGAGATCTTTAGGTAGCTGTGGTAGAATAAATAGCCAAGTGACAGATTGAATAGCTATACGTCTTCCCTCGCATCTCATCATACACTGCATCAACATTGGCAGTACACATCAATACCCACACCCACCGAAAAAAGACTTTTATTATCGCTAAAAGGTGAATTAAGGATGACAAACAGTATTAGTAAACAGAAAGAGAAGAAATCGGATATTTTTCCTAGAGTTCTGTATTGGTATCATATCTGTTACGTCTTCAACTTCTTTTGTTTGACAAATTAATGACTGTAGAAAAAAAAACATAACCAGAATTTATTGTGAAGAATGTGACCCTTTCCTTTTCTTGCCACAATTTTTCAGTGTGTATCTGTGTATAGACATAGAAAAATATTCGTACTTGCTTAGTTTTTCTTGTTTGTTTTATATAAATTATAATTTTAAAAAAGAAACTAAGATGTATAAAATTAAAATCTTCTCTTCTTTATTTTTTTAATCAATTCTGAAATATCTTGTATAATCATCGAAAGAAAAGCTTTTTTTGACTGAATGAAATGTTCAAAGTTTAAATAAACGCAAGATAGTTTGTGTCAAATAATAATCACCAAATACAGTAGCTACATCATAAGGTTTTTCTGGATACGGACCTTGTGTTCCATTGGCAATGACTGCACGTAACACATAATCCTTATTACCTAATATCAAATAAGTTGAACTCGTCAATTGATCTACTATAGATTTCGCACTTGTCAAAAAATAATCTTTAGTTTCAGGTACTATGACATATTGAGATAATTCAACTAAACCACTAGCAAAAATAGCTGCAGCTGAAGTATCTCGTGGTTGATAGTTAATTGTTGAATGATGAGGAGCATCAAAATCCCAATATGGAATTAAATCTGTACTACTAGAAAGATGAGAAAGAAAATAATTTGCTGCTCCAATAGCTTTATCTAGAAAAGGTTGATATTTCGTATAACGATAAGCAATAGTAAATCCATGTACAGCCCAAGCTTGACCACGAGACCATGTTGACCAATCAGCATAACCTACAGAAATATACACTGAAACAATATTCAAAAAAACAAAGAATTTCTCACTAACCTTGCGCAGTGTACTTTCGAATAACACTTCCATCAGTTTCATTATATTCAACTACATGATATGTACTATTATCCGGTCGAAAATGTTCATACATTGTTCGATTAGCATGTTGCCATGCCATATTATACCATGTTTGATTATTTGTTTGTTTACTTGCTTCAAACAATAATCCCAAATTCATCATATTATCAATAATAACTAAAAAACCTTCTTTACTATCCCAAGATCGTGTACATCGAACCGTAGGTGAATATCGACTAGATAATGACATAGCAGCAGTAATAATGATCTGTAAGTATTCGGGAAATTTTAATAAATGATATCCATGTCCATAACTTGACATAATTACAAAACCAACATCATGCGTATCTGTGACATTAGCAACAGGAGCTAATGGTAGAGTCAAATCAATTGCCATTTTCAAGATATTTTCTGTTGCATTGAATTCTAATAAATTCCAAAAAATTCCAGAAAAAAAGCCATTTGTAAAACTATGAAGAATAGGTAATGATATCCAATCAGTTTGTAACGGATATCCCATGAAAGGAAAAGATTGAAATGATAAATCACGATATTGATAGTAGAGTATAGTATATTGAACATTTGCATAACCCATAACATTGAAAGCAGTTACATCGCCAGATATTATCAACAAGGTGGTTAGCAGTAACAGAGCAGCCATACGAAAGTGATAAGAATAATAAATGAATATAGAATGATAAGAATATTTAAATTTTATATCTCAACATGCTCTTTTGATTTCAACAGAAAAAAAAACGAAAAAAAAATAAAAAATAATTTTAATCAACTACAGACAATCCTCAGTTCTACAAAAAAAGACAAGTATTTAACATGATAATTGCAGTGAAAACTTTTAAAAAATTTGTATTCATGTTTTAGGAATTTCTTATACTTGAACGGCATAGAAATTTAATTACGAATAGTTCTGACAACAAAGTTCGATATTGATACTACCGATGACCGACTTGTTGCGTCTATTTTTCAAACTTTTCACTTGAAAGGTAATGTGGGATGTGGAGCCTGCAGATTTCCACTTCATCGGCACCTACACCCTACATTTGACATTCACGCACAGACCCACAGCCACACCCTACTCGCAAAAGATAAAAAATAGAATTCTTCATTGTATTACCCCCTTCAATGGCAACTGGAATTGCTAAATTATCCTGCACATATGAAAGCGCTCCTAATCGATCTGCTTATACTATTGGCCTACGGAAAAGGTCAATACTCTATTTCGATAGTTGTTTTATTAATGACGCTTCTGGAACCGTTGTTGGGAGTACAGGGTTAAATCTGAATGGTTTTTCTAAGGCAAATTTTTATTATAAAAAAATTTACAAATGATGTATTTATTAAATCTTCTGTACTTCATACTCGTGGTCTTCAATCATCATCCGTTGTCTTTTCTTAACAGCTGTCATCTGTTCATGCACTGTAGGATAATTATTGATGATCTCAATTAATTTATATATAGCTGGTAGATCGAAATTTTCTTGGGTTGATTTCAATTTGTTCATTGGTTGTTCATATTGACTTTCAAATTTTGACAATTCTTTAACCAATTGCATATTGAAATCATTTGGTTTCTGAATTTCACAGATATATGTTTCTTCAACAATCATTTCTTTCAAACCCTTCAAAAATGGATCATCTTTTGCAGAACAAGCAGTATGAATGAGAAAATGAGCTAATTTAGCACTCATAACACACAGCCTATTTAGTGTATCGCTCATTCTATTGTGAAGATCACTGGAAGTAATAGTCGAACATTTATAGTCAAGAGTATAATCGATTGGAACATGTTGATCGAGAGTACATAAGCACATGATACAGTCATTTTGAATTTCATGAGGATAAATGGATAAAAACCCAAATTTACCAACCTGCTGAAGATCACTTTTACAAGAACGACAACGAGTAGCTGTGGAATGAAGAGGTTTTGAATTGAATTCAATAAATTGATTTGGTATACTATTCTTGCATAAAATAATGTTTCGTAGAATATTTCGTATTGTTTCTAATATTGGACGAATCATATAAGAAATTTCA